TCTAAATTGAAGTGTATTAGTGATGAGGCTTTCTTGGTGCAGTGATGTCAGACAGACAAGAGGCAAGATAGAAAGTTTATTTCACTATTGATGAACAATTTCTAATGCATGGTCATGCCAGTTGATATGGTGATCTTTTAGAAAGCCATTGGGAATGAATTGCAATTTTCTCTCTCGGATCAGATAAATTATTATTAATATGAAGGGCTGATAAATCAAATTTTAAGGTCAAAATGGTGCATTTCTCATTGAAATTTGGTTGGTTTCATGAAAGATATGGGATTTTTGTATCTGTAGATTTTTAGTTTCTGATATTTCCCCAAATTCTCACAAATGTGTATAGATGCACGTGTACAGACATATGCACATGCAAACTTTACACACATGCTGGCAATTACACCAATAATATACATGTTCTCAAGCAGAGCCAATACATATAATCTGCTTTGCTCATTATGATCATGTGACATTCCTTAATTCAGCTCCTCACGCCGTTCGAAGCTCTTATATTGCTAACAATTTTTGCAAATTGTGTTGCTCTCGCCATCTACCTCCCGTACCCCAAAGGGGACTCCAACGAGGTCAACGATGCTTTGGTAAGTTATTTGACTGATTGCAACCTTTCCCTGACATATGAACACTGCAATTTCTTTGGGGACGTTTCTACTCGTTTTAAATCATTTGACGAAATTCAGTTTGGTGTACCATTTTTCGATGATGTTTACTTTTATTTATCTGTATGAAATATAATTGCATTGTTCATAGGTGTGGGATTTTGTGATTCATTGATTTAGAAACCATCACATTTTTGAGAAATGTTTACAGGCGTATGCTACATGAAATGATACCGTGAAGAATATGAATATTTGTATTTGGATGAAAAAGGTAATGGTAATAACATGGAAGTACACACTTTGCTACGGTATTGTGAGTTTATTTCTCCTCATAACAAATGGAGCACTGGATCACACATGGGAACAGACACTGATGATCGACTCCCAGGGTTTGGAACATTGAACATAGAGTGAAGGTCATGGGGTGTAGGGTGAAGGTCAAGGGTCACAGGGTGAAGGTCACTGGGATCACTGCAAAATATGAAGAGTGGAATTGTCTGCTATTGTTGTTGTTTCTGTATGCCGTGAAGTTACAGGGTCTCTTGTGGTTGCATTTAATGCTTTGCTGATGATGAAGAATAAAGGGAATATATTTTTTGTTGAAAAAAATCAGTCTATCAATCTGTGGAAATCCATGTTGGTGAATGTTTTGGGTATTTGAAACATTAGTTGAGCTGATAATAATGAACATAGATGATCATATTGTTCTTAAAAACAAACTAGTTTGTTGATCTATATAAAGGGATAAGTGTGAATCTGGTAGGTATTTGTGGTGCCCTGTAGGGAGTTGACAAACGAGGTAGAGCAGAGAAAGATGATTTGATGAATAAATTAATAGAAATAATGGATGCTTGCTTGAAAAAAAAAATAATTAAGTTTGAATGATCAAAAACAATTGCAATCATTTTTTATTAATTTTGAGAAGGTTGTCTCAAGCTCAAAGCAAACTACAACTACATTCAGAGATGTAATGTAATCTCGTGTAGATATGTACCTGGGTAATGATCAGATTAGCTTGTAAACTACATACCATGTCTAACTCTCATAGTCCCAGTATTGATATGTATCAGGACAGCAGTTATGGAATGCTTTCATTACCTCGTATTGACTCCACTGGGTAATGCATGTAATATGCGATAAGGACGCTGATTAAGGCGTAATATTATTGCGTTTTGTGTGTAGAAAGGCACTTATTTACAACATGCACCGAGTATCTTCTTCCTTTTGTCTCTCTCTCCTTCAAACTCTTTTTGGCACTTTTTCTCTTTTCAAGCATCTTGCATTCCTTCTTTTTACTTTGTGTTCCTTATGTCATAATTTTCTATCTTTCTGCACCCCTACCCACCCTCCCATTCTCTTCCTCTACCCCTCCCCCTTTTGTCTTACTGAGACAAATTGGATGCTCTCTTCAAATCTAATTGCAAATTACTTTCAATTGATTTGTTTGCATTTTATGTTATTTGCATTTAACTGTTTATGTAATGTTGTCCTTGCGATGTCATGGTTTGTTAGAATTTGAACAGGCCTCCCTTGTTCCTTGTTGTTATTATTCAGAATGCCTGGCATTCAACAGTGGGCCATCAAATGCCCATTACATGCTTCAGAATCCCTTGTACACAAAAAAAGTTCATGTAATCATTTTGAAACTGTCATTATGGAAATGGTTGTATAATGCTTTATGTAGAAAAAAATATAAATAAAAGACATGTAAAAAAAAGAAACTGGCAGTAAAAACATGCTTATCTTGAACAGGTATATACACCTGTGGGAACTTGAAAATCCCTTTTAATCAATTTCAAACAATTAACATAGTGATTGAAGTAAATATTCTAAGCTGATTAATTTTTAATCTTCACTTTTTAAAATACATTTGTAAGCCAGAAACCAAAATGAATGTTTTGTTTCATCCAGTTGTTTTAAAAAAAGGAATGATGGAAATTGAAATTTACTCTTTGAAACGAAGGTCATAACATTTTGACCAAATCACATGGCATTCTTGAGGTGAACTGAGGTTGAGATGTAGATCAAGATCTAATATGAGAATCCATTTCTATTCCATCTTTATCTTCAGTGCAATCCAGAAAGTTGTGTTCTGGCCATCAGGTCTATCAGGGCTCTCCCACCTGAGAGGGATGATTTCTAACCCAGTAAACAGTGAGCAGTCAAATTACTGAGGTCACTCTTGCACTTTTTTTTGGCTGCATCCCCAAACCCTTTCACTTCACTGTGACAATCAATGAGGAATTGTCAAAAAAGAAAAGAAAGAAAATCAATTTTCTTTTGGCACGTTAATTCATCTAAAACAGCATCAGTAGTTGTGCTGAACCTGCAGCAGAGCTGTAGTGGTAGGAGTACAGCAGGAGATAGAACCACACATGCTGAGTTATGCTCCCAGTCTGGAGCTCTGACCAGAACGGTATCAGGTTTCCCCCACCAGACTATATTTAAAGGTTAAAGTCATGCCAGCTGGGAGCCTGGGCAGAGCTCTTATGTATTTGGTAGGGTCAGTGGCAAGAATTTCTGTACCTGTAGTACCTGTAATCTAACCTGTGTGTGAGAAGGCTGCAGGTGCTGCCTGCATGCAGCCCAACTCTCAGCTATATCTGTAGAGATATTCATATGAGTTGCAAGAGGCTGATCAGAGTCAGAGGAAGGCATGGGAGCTGATGGGCTGGAGAATAAAGGGGATTGGAGTGAGGGTGTGGGTGGGAGTGGAGGGGTGTGTGTGTGTGTGTGTGTGTGTGTGTGTGTGTGTGTGTGTGTGTGTGTGTGTGTGTGTATGCATGTGTGCATGGGAGAGAGAAAGAGAGTAAGAGTGAATAACCCTCATCTTCTGCTTCTGCATAGCCAGAAAGGCATGCGGAATATTCAGTGATTTTGTGAAATAAAAGAGAATAGGTTAGGTTTGTTGGGGATGTTTAGTGTGTGTGTGTGTGTGTGTGTGTGTGTTGGGGGGGGGGGGGGGGAATGAAGGGGCTAATGATAAGTGAATAAGGGATAAGAACTTTAGGAAGTAAGGTGAACAATTTGTGTAGTGCATGATAGAGGATGAGGTATAGGTATCAGGAGAAAATTTGATCTTATTTTTAAGATTGAAAAAAGTCTACTGTGATCCTGAATAATTACGTAGTAGTCCGCTGAAATAAAGCAACTGCCAGTCTCAAACCTGAGCCCTTACTTTTTGTAAAACTCATCAAATATACTCATTTACTTGGAATGCTGCTTATTATGCATCTGTGAAATGTTATGATTAAGTTTCTCTCCTTCATGGTTTAGACCAATTTATGACTTAAATTGCTTTATTTTTGAAACAGGGCCCTGTACACTGAACTAGTAACTGCTGTTAGATAACTGACCTCTGTGTACAAGCTGTTGAACACGTAACTATGGCATACACCATCGCACTCACACCTTCTCTGAAAGCAGACACTGCATGCAAAAATACCTGTAATTTGAAACCATGGGATATCACGTATCAGGAATTAAATCACTTATTCTTGCATTAGTTATCATTGAGTGACTTGGGTCACAAACAGGCCCAGCACTTCTTCACTGGTTTTAACACAATTGTTGTGAATATATGAATATCATTTACATTCTGAAATCTTTTATAAAAAATACCCAAAGCTTCAGGGAAGAAAATTTTCCTCCTTATAAAGAATTTCTTCTTTTTAGTGAACAACAAGGGGAGTTATTAAGTTGCTGTATTTTGTGTAAATAAATAAATAAATAAAAAAAAATGGAAAATCATGAGAGGGGTCTTGCTTGTTAAGTTTTCTATTGTACCCATTTCTGACCTTTGCAAACATGTCCCAAACTAAGAACATACTAACTTATGGATTTGGCATTTCCTAATTATTGTTTTGTTTTAAATGATTTTTAGGAAAGTTGCATTGTGCAGTTTGATAATGTTGAAAAAAGTGATTGTTATTTGTCTTATTTTTCATGTTATTAGATACCTGATGAAATTGTCATCTAATAACATTGAATCAATAAGTATATGTCAGAACAAATTCCTGGGACAGTTATATAAAAAGCAACTTTTGTCCTGTGTCATGTTTTGTATGCATGTGAGAGATGCAGTAAAATGTAGTAGAGTAAAATAAAAAATGGTTCTTTGGCATGCATAGGGGAGATTTGAAAAATATATACCAAAACGGAACAGAATAAAAACATTCATACTCTTGTCATCCACTTTTCGCAAAAGACACCGACCATTTGCAATGATGAAGAATGAGAGTTGCTTATCAGTAATATTTTAGAGTCTGTTGTCTTTGTAAAATTTCATGTGGTTGTCATTTACTTCTAAGATGACACCAATCTTTATTGGTAAAAAGCATTTTATTTCTGCCTTTTCCTCCTTAAAGGCATTAAGTTCATTGCAGACAGATAGCTTGCTATGTTTATGTTAGTGTTGATGGGAAGAAGAGCTGTTGTCTGCTTCAGTTCATTGCCAGGATAATGAGTCATTTTAATCTCATTTTCTGATGCAAGGTTCACTTGATACTGTTGAAAATAAATAAAAACCAAATAAACCAAAATGACTTGAAAATAAATGTGGGTTTTATGAAGTAAATAGAATGGATGGACCATGATACAGGTGTTTATTGTTTGGGTGTTCTAAAACCTATTATCCTTCAGGCACACACGTTTAGATCACAAGGACCAGGTCTGGCTCACTTGATCATTCTCTCAGCTCTCATCGTATGGGAATTACTCTAGAAATTCAAACACATAAAGAAATAACTCCCCCCCCCCCCCC